ATGGCGACGTCCAGCTGAGCCTCTTCACTCCAGCCGTACATCCGACCACATCTCTCAACCCTGGCGACCCATTGCCGTGCACTGTCTCCCAGTCGGAAGATAGGCACAGACGAGACGCTTGAGGGATGAGGGTGTGTGATAAAGTGAGATTGATGTTGGCTCTCCATGGCGTACGAGACGTACAACCAGTGGGACGCCCAGCAGACTGTTCGAAAGTAGCTAGAGACAGGGCTGAAACCCTAGTCTCGATACCAGCCGCGCCGCGGCGGGCGGCACCCAGCGGCAGCCCAAAAATTTTCGCGTTTGGGGGAACCGCGGGATGGACACACCGGGGCGCCCAGGATCGTTTATAGAAAGGAATCGATACCAGTAGATTGTCTTAAGCGAGATAGGATCGAGATTTGTGTGCGCGAGCGGAAGCAGAATCAGAGTTTAGTCCTGAGACCGTAGGCCCAGGTGTGGTTGTGAGCAGAGTTTTACTGCTTCTTGGCCACTAGGCCCAATGTCAGCTTGGAACCTGGTTGGCTGTTGACAAGATAAAATAGGTGGGAGTCATCCACGCCAAGTGAAGGCGATATCCGTTACAAACTGCCTTGGCCGGTGCGTCCTGCTACCGTGCGCGGGAGTTGTATGATTGGAATATCCCTCAGAAAACATTGGTCAGGCCGCGCCTTATATATGGTAAACGCGCCCGCCATTCGTACAACTGTCGTATGGTCAACGTAAGACGTAGCTACCCTTTTCGCGCAGCAACTGCTCATTACGCAACGGTAGCTACCCGTTTACGCAGCTCCTGGCCAGGTTCATGGCGGCCAAAGGAAACTGAGAAGAAACTAGTACAGGATATTTTTCATAGAACATTTCTCAGACCGGAGCTAGATCGTCAGATACAAATCGCCTGCTTTTACGTCGCCCGGTCGAAACATTCATCGTCAGTCTTTACGCGGTGCGCTGTATGTACATGACCATTCTCAACGCGTTTATAGTTTTTAATTAACGATATGGCAATATTCCACCTCCTGCTATGCCCGGAACGATACGCAACCAAAGTCGTCAGACTCAGTTTTCTATGACTAGCTGGACGTTGCTACAGCTGTAGCGTCCCCCCCCTTCAGAAACCTGGCCACCCGGCCGGGTCTAACCTCCACTAGTGTCCTCAGCATGGTTGTGGTAGCCCCTGACGATTGCGGCGAAAGTCGCTTCTTCAATGGCGGCGGAAGTTCTGCAATTTTCATGACGTTGGTGGGGTTAGGTCCCACGACACCACGTATTCCGTCAAGTAGATGACCAAGGAAAACCACGCGTTGTTGGCCAAACGTGCACTTTTTAGCTGCAATCTTGAGACCAGCCATTCGGAGAAGGTCGAACACTTGCTGAAGATGTCGTACATGATCTTGTAGTGTTGGGCTGAAGATAAGGATATCATCCAGATAAACCACTACACACCGTTCCCGCGGTGGGCTATCCAATGAAGCAGGGGGTGGAGGCGAATCCTCTAGTAGTGGGCCCAGAACCTTGTGCATCAGGGTAGCGAACACGGCGGCTGCTCCCTTTAGACCCATGGGCATTCGTACATATCGATACTGAGCTGTGGGCGTGGCAAACGCCGTACGCTCCTTAGAAGCCTCGTCCGCCATCGGGACTTGCCAGTAGCCCGACTTCAAGTCCAGGCTGGAGTAGTAACGAGTCTCGCCACCCGGAGGTGCAGCAATATCCAAAATATCCTGGATGTGGCCTATCGGAAACCGGATGTCCTTAGTGACGTCGTTGACCCTCCACATATCTACACAGGGCCGGAGTTCTCCGTTTTTCTTGGGGACGACTACGACTGGAGACACCCAAGGACTGTTGGACAGTTCGATGATCCCGTCCTGTAGCATCTGCCGCATCTCAGCATCAACGGCGGCTTTCTCCGTTCGTGACAGACGGTAAGGATTCTGCACGATAGGAGGATGATCTCCCGTGTCCACCTTCATGGACACCCAGGACGTAAGCCCTAGCTCTCGGTTGGTTAAGGCGAACATGTCAAAGTTGTCAGTCAAACATGCGACCAGCTGCTGGTGGTCGAGGTACTGAAGATCGGTGTTTACTTTGCTGCTTAGCAACTCGCGTAGCTCAGGGGTAGGGCTCTTGACTGGCCGAACCGCACGGGCTACCAACCCGCGAAAATGAGCCTCCTCTAAATGTCCGTCATGATCCAAGCCGTCTGGGGCAAGAGCAGCTGGCATGTTCGCATCAAACTGTGCTGCCGCAGCATGGCTGTGGGTAACGGAAGCACACTCCTCAGTTAGCAATCGTGGTAACAGGAGCTCTCGTGAACTCAAGACGGGAGTAGTTTCAGGAAAAGACGGAATGGATCCGCAGGGGTCGATATTGGCGGTCCAGGTCCGGAGTGCGAGTCATTGTCGTACTCGAACTCATCTCCAGGCCAGACATTTGCCCGAGCCTCTTCCCTGCCAGAACTGACGACGCTGTCGGTACTCCATGCATCCGCAGCCCATTCGCCGCTGGAGGCACTTTCCGACGGAACCTCGTCCGACCTAAACACGTGCCGTACAAGTGTGTCGACGATGTGTTCCATGTCCATGTCCCCACGGGCTGTCGAATCACCATCACTAACCTCTCCGCTGTTTCCCTCAGGTGAGCCAACGGCCTCAGGTGAATCAATGGTCTCAGGCGCGGAGCCTCTATTGATAGCCGCAGGTGACATCTGCCCTTGTGGCGTGGGCGTCTCAGGCCGCTGTATTGATGCCTCGGCCGTCAACATGGAAGCTGGTTGAGCGCCGTCTTGCTCAGGTGAGTCGTCCCAAAGTCGAGCAGACGGGGGAATATTAGAGCTGGGGCTCCGAAGAAAATGGATAGCAATGTTGGACCGCTGATCCCGGTCATTGGTGTATTCCAGACAACCACTGTCGTACGAAATACTTGCTCGTATTGGATAGAGGAAGTCGGTGCCCAGGAGTAGCTGATAGTTGAGGGCGGTGCTGACGAACGGACTTAGCAGCATCGTTAGGTCGCCAGTGGACACTTGCAGTTCACTGACACGTCCAGCGGCCCGACCACGATTGCCATCCGCATTCAGGAACGTCACCTCCGTCTCCTCCATCAGGTGTAGAAGATCTAAACGCCGTAGTGTGTCTCGTGTAACAACACTATGAGAAGCCCCAGAATCGATGACAGCGGGGACGGGAACTTGTCCTCCATGTCCGTCAATTATCCATACGGTAGCTTTGCAAACCTGCCAGGGTGGTACGACGGCATCAGACTTCCAGGCGGGTATTGTTGAAGATGGTCGCTCTGAAAGAGAAGCTTGCATGGTGCCG